TTTCTTCCCACGCAATTTAATGTTTATAACCTTTTGGTAGATAAAGGGGTTAATTTCTTCTTTTTTTTTTGCCCAATCTTATCTTCACAATTTGTTGAAAACAGAATCCTTCTTTCAGAGTCCTTTTCTATACCGTAATTCTGTGCTCTATTCGGAAGGGAAAAAAAAGGAACAGAGAGCTGTTCTCGGTTCACAGCCCTCCAATTAAGAAAACCTCTCCTGGAAAGACAAGAAAGACAAAAGGAAAGAAAGAAAGAGAAACCGAGGGAGGAACAGGAAATTGGGCATCCCCCCCAGCGAGCCTGTGTCTGTCTCTCCCTGGGGGAGGCGAGTTGCAGTGAATCTCATTGAGAACCAGATCAATGAGGAGATAGATTGCAGTTTTCCAGCAGCACGTTTTAAATCAATTAATCTATAATGAAATCTATGCGTCTTCTTAAAGGGCCACAGCCCCGATATCAGGGGATAATCAGCCGAGCCATGCTGCAGAGCAGAACCGGGGCGCTGGGTTCAGGGGGGCAGAGCTGTTACCGCCTTTAATTAAATCCCACAGGGAGAGAGTCAAGCAGCATGAGCAGCCAACCCTGAATCCACAAAGCTCTGTCTATATCAAACAGTAAATCTGGAGCGTTATTACTGTTTGCTGTGCTCTGATATGTCACATTCCAAAAGTTCTACTGTACGTACAAAACAATCGATCTGATCAGAACGCAGCTAGTTAAAGAGTAGTTTCACTTCCTGGACATCGGTGCTTTCCTTTTTACTTCCTACCTTTTCAAATGAAATGACAGGCAACCCTGAGTTCCTTTTCACTCTTAATTAGCACTTTAGGGAAACACGGAATATTACAAAGCGGTGTTGTTGCAGCATTCATTAGCATTAAAACCATGAAGACCATACAGTGAGTTGATATACCACTGAGGCAGTGACCTGGTTGACGTAAAACAGCTTTAGATGATTTTCTGGCCGGACTGTGTTGCTGGAGGGATTTACTTATTAAATGTTTTGGTTCCCATTAGTAAATGGATTTTAGATGTTATAGATTATTCAACACATGATCACAAATATAGTACAATAAGTCAACTAAATGTCATCAAAATGTTTTTCAAATGAGTAGTATATAGTTGCAGACAGTTTTAAGACTCGCAGGTTACTCCATTGCACTCAGTAAATGATGCAACAACCTGCCTTTATTTACAGCATTTTCCCTGTTCCTTTTGCTCACAATACCACCATCACTATTTTCCTCTGTTTTCCAGAATGTTCACAAATTTCAGTTAATCAGATCTTCACTTCATATCTGATTTCACCTTTAAATTAAAAGTGCAAATATTACCTTTTTTTTCCGATAAGCACAATCATCACACCAGATGCTTTGTATACTTCATTTAGCCAAATGCATCTTTCCACTGTCTGTTTAAATGATTGGCAGGACCTGTGGGTAATTAATCACGTTATATTTACAGCGCAAACATGATTAAATGAATTAAGCCATTCGTCTAATTACCATATTGTAAAAATAGATTTTTACACGAGTATGACTATTGGATTGAAGAATGCATCTACAGTAATCAATAGACTGCAATCCGAGCTGAGACTTGGTGTCCTTCAGAGAAAGAGAGAAAAGCCGTCAACACATTGGTCTCCTGTACTCAATTTCCTTTAGTTTTTTCTCATTATTCTTATGTCTTTCACTCTCTGCCCTCCTGCCTGCTTTTCTGCAAACTTAGTGCCCGGGCATGATTAATGGAGGTGAGGGTTAAATATGTAATTGCATTTAAATCACTGTTACTTGCTTTACTGATGGGGAAAGTTTAGAATAAGTGCCTGTCCAAATTGAGTTATTACTTGGGTAAGGGTTAGACCAAAAATGACCAGGATGTCTTGTGTTAATAGTTGCAGCGTTCTAATTCAATAGACCCTAAAAAAAATCCTAAGATTTTTCCAGACATAACTAAAACTGACTAATAGAAACAGCACTTATTAAATGCTTCCCCACCACCACTCTACTTTAGTCCATGTAATGTGACTTACTGCAGTCTCAAACTTAATCTTCTTGACTAACATCTAGAAATACAAGCATGAAAGTAGAGAAATACCTTCTTGGAATGTAAAAAAGAAAGGAACAAAAGACGGGGTTTGGTAGGTGGTATAACAAGTGTGAGATCTAGTTACACAAAGCTTTTACGATTACTAGTACTTGTAATTGTATATTGTACAATACAATATACAACATCTGGCACGTAATTTTAACCATTAAAAGTGCCTTTTTTGTATTGCTAAAAAATTAGACAATAACTTAATAAGGAACAATGACATAAAATATCTGTAACAGCACGGCACTGTGCCGCTGTGGAACACCGAAACCCTTTAACAGTCTAGTCGTGCTGTACTAGTTATCCAAACCTGGAGTCCAATAAAAGGTCATATTGTAAATGCAATAATTCCCATGGCATGTCCTCATTTAATTTAAACAATAACACAAGTGCCTGCCTGATGTACAAGTAGGAGCTATTAAGCTAAATGCTGGTTCTGGTCATGGGGCCACATCAAGGGTATTCACCAAGAGACCAGCGAGTATTAGTTTAAACAGGTGTTTGTATGGAATAAAGCATATGTTACTTTAACTTTTTGGCACTCATTACTTAAGAGTCTTCCATGTAATTCTTCAGAATCCCTTTACAGTACCTCAGATAATTCAGACAGCTCTTTCTAGGTCAAGTGCAGAAGTGTCCATTGCAACCATTCAAAATAATACAGCTTTTGACCATGATTTACATCTTTAATAGTTCATTTATTACATATCAATATCAAGCTACAGTACTTTGAAATGAGTATGCAAACCCTCAGAAATTTCCAGCATATGAGAATACCCATATCGTTTTGTTCAGTGTTTTCTTTTTGTATATGTTATGTCTTGTAAATGTAAAAGCAATGTTTGTTGCCTGTCCCAATACATCACATTAATTCCTCTAGTCAGTTTTGCCTCATCACAATGGATTACTTTTGTATTCTCTCTGCAGTGCGTTGAGTTTTAATGATCAAAGTCTTCCTTCTGTTGAGCTTCTTGTATCATAAAGCACACATTACATTCTCACACTTGACAATAAAATGAAACCAGGCACTGTAGCCAAGATGAAACTGAGATTTTGCATCAATATAGCTCCACCATGTCCCAGCAGCAACATTCGGTTTTCTACCCATCATCACTTTCACTAAACACTAATCCAGTTCAGGGTCATGGTGGCCTGGAGCCTATCCCAGGAGGCATTGAGCACAAGGTGGGATACACCCTGAAAAGCACACAAACTCACACCAGGGCCAATTTTCCCAGAAGCCAAGTAACCTACCAGCGTGTGGGACAAAGCCAGAACCCCCAGCGGAAACCTAAGGATTTGAACCCAGGGCCTCAGTGCTGCGGGGCAGCAACGTCAAACACTGAGCCACCCTATTCGATTTTATACATCTAATATGATTAATGTTGAGCCTAGTATTATTAAATGATTTGCCTGTTTTAGAAAGGTCTTCTACTTACACTACATAAAACTTTTTATCTCAAATTGCCTTGGATTTAGGAGGAATATTATCACTGCTGAAGTGCAGCCCCCACACGGATGACACGTGGCCACTGTTATGTGCCAGAAGCCCAGCTATAAAGCAGATAGAATTGACTAGTTGCTATGAAGGGTGAAGTTTAGGGAGGTCAAGTTGCAGCCCAGAGTGAAATTAACCAGGGCACTGGGTTAAGACCCTGACTCTGATGAGCAGTGCCACAGGTTTTAAATGACCAAAGAGTCAGGACACTGCTTTAACTACTCATCCCAAGGGTGGCGCCTCCTACAGTTCAGTGTGCACAGTGACAATACTGGGGTAGCTAATTTTGGAAACTGTGGTCCAGATGGAATAGTGCCACCCACTGGTCTGCCAATACCCCCCACGACAACCTGGTTTTCCCTGAAGGTCTCCCATTCCAGCACTGACCAGGAGGCCCAGCCTTGCTCAGCTTCTGACATCTGACAACATCAGGCTGCAAGGTAGAAAGACTGATAGCTGGACCACTGGAGAAAACAGGCTCGTATTCTGATGAACATCAGAACTTCAGCCATCCTGTCAGCTGCAAATCATTTAATTCTTCTCTCCAGCATCAGGTGCAGGGCTGCTGTTTTATAAGTAACACAAGGGTCAGAGCGCTGGTTGACATTCGCTAAAACAGCCCATCACCATCATCTTACAAACGACATGACCAACTTTTCTACAAAGTTTTTTTTTCCCTTTCATAATGCTGTAGCAAGTTGTCGTCTTGATTTCTTTGTGTCATTATCCAAGGCTGTGTTGTTGAAGAGTATCCAAAACATTACATCCCACCAGAAGGAAATTATTCTGTTTTAAAGTGCTTTATTCTGAAGAGGACTTGGACCTTCCACTTAAAAAACAGTGACAATGCAATCTATGCTGACTTTGCGCGTTTGTGGCTGGACTACAAATTATGAATTGTATTGATTTGCTTTATGGTAATGTACCTCAGCATAGTAAAACTGTCAACCTTCATTGCATTCATAATAGATTTATAGAAAGTTATTACTGTCTGTCTTAAATTAATATATTTAAATTGAAGCCATCCTATTTAACTTATTAT